GCTCTTACAAACCCACTTTCTTTTTCTTCTGAAAAAGGTCCATCAAATAAAGGCCCACACGATAACCGAGTACACAGGGTCGGATTGTCGTTACACTTTTTGTCCCTCTTCTTGTTCCATTTAGAAAAAATATACTAGAAATATAACATTCGATAATTAATTATAAAAATTATATTTATAAAATTTAAAATATAAATATAAGTTTTTATATTATAAATTTTATTTTTTTAGAATTATGTGATTCATTTTATTTAAGACAAACTTGTCACTATATGACTCATTCGTCCTCTATTATATAATTTTTCTAATTTATATTATATAATATGATAATAATATATAAATTTTAGAATTATAAAACAATATTTTATTATATTTTATTGTAACTTATATTTAATTTAAGTTATATCAGTAGTATATATATACACACACATATATATGCTACATGGATATTAAAACAAATAATTTAAAAATATAACTAATTTGACAAGTTATATATGAAATAATGTCTAAATCTAATTAACTATTTTGAAATCCATGCATATAAATGTCTAAATTTAAATGAATTATTTTGACGCACAATAAATTAACATATACAATTTATTAAAAAAAATGATGCATAAAATTATGAGAAAATCAACCCATTTATACCTTCAAAATTTATTGTATTGTTATATTTAGGAAGTTTTTTTTCTTAATTAAAAATATAATATTTTTAAAGTTGATAAATGGTCGACTTCTATTTTTTTTTTTATTGATTTTCAAATTGTATTATTTTTATGTTTATTTCAAGTTTATAAATGGTTTACATATAATTTTATTTTGGATATCTTATTTTGTAATAATTTTTAAAAAAATATATATAGTAAACGTGAAAATAGCGTAAGTTATAATAAGTTACCAAAACATTCACACTTAAATTTAGGGAGGATATAAAGTTAGCATCCATTCATATGAATCACTCTACGTATCGGTTGGACTCTAGATAAGCCATGCGGCCCATGTCACACGGTTAAGTTTTAGGCTTAAATTTTTCGCTTACTTGAGGATGTTTGGATATAAAAACTTTTGGATTTGTTTGAATTTTTGGGTTTGGTTTAATTAATTTTGAAAAATGTGGTATGGTTAGATGTTAGTGGGTATATTAAAATAATATTTAAAATAAAATAATTAAAGTTGATTTGATGTAAAAGTATGAGAGAGATAATTTGAAATGATAGTTAGTTAAAATTATGTGAGTGAATGAATAGTGAATTAATGTTGATGTGATGTGTAAGAATGATTGGATGAAATTATTTAATTATATTAATAATATTATTGATAGTTGGGTTGAGTTAAAGTTGAGTTAAAAAAAGTGGTTGAGTTAAAAATGTTTGAATTTTTTTGGATAAGTTTTGTATCCAAGCATACCATCCCGTGCGGCCTGATTTTCTACAAACCATTTCGTGTTCTCACCGTCCAGCGAACCTCCACTCGCCTAAGCAAGTATAGTTCGTGGTTCTGCAAGCACGTCACTCAAACATGCATGCGGAAGCTATCAAGTAAATAAGTGACACGCAAGATTACGGGTCCGCGCCCAAGTAAAGTACTACAATTACTCAATGTACAATGGAATGCCATACAACTTGCAGACACGGTTCATACCCACACTCTCGTTCATGCAGGCACACTCTACTCAAGCGTACTAGCACAACACTGGCCTTACTCATGTATCTAACGTTAGCCATTCTAGTGTCGGTCTTACAGACGTTGTTCTTACACATGCATGCTACTACAGTTGGCGTATGCCAACTCACGTACACACTAGAATACTGTACTAGGACTTCGCTCTCACCCTAGCTCGCTCAATAAGTTTTGCCTCGCCTTTGCACCCTCGTGTTTAAGTCCTCACGCTCAATGAGATCGCTCTTTCCGAGTTATTTCATAGTGTGTTTTTTATGGTCCCTCGTTTGATCACGCTTGTGATTGCTTGGTTATTCCTCGCAAATGCTTGCTTAAGCCTACTTAAAGGCCTCAAGATCACTGCCCTTTACCTTAATTGTTGGGTATAACCGTCTAACAACTGCTCGGGTGGTTTATCACAAATCGCCCTATCCTTGTGCCTCATCCAATCTGATAGCGACTCAGCAAGCTAACCGCTCTCACAAAAGGTCATCGAACTCTCTCGCGGGTCAAAAATCGTCTTGGTCATCTATACATGACAACCGTCTAGTCATGTGCCTCATCTGGTCTCCTTTGATCCAACTCGCCCGCGCCATCTCAAAGGGATAAGAGTCTAAGGCTGCCCCAGGCCACACTGGATGATGCAATCGTCAATTCCAACCGTTCTCGCCAACAGCTAAGATGTTGCGCCTACACTCGCACGTGCTCATTGAAATGCACCAGCCTTAGTTCAACCTTCAAGCCCACGGATAACCGTCAACCGATCCCCACATACGTGTGCACCATCCGCAAGGCTTCACCTAACCCTACGAAAAACCGTCAAGACCAAGCCCACATGCGCATAGACCATGCACAACCCTACGCATATCCGTCGTTGACTGAACTGAGCCCTCTACTTATCCGTATCCGACTTAGATCAACGGGTCGACCCATGATCTTAAGCAACTAGGGTGTTCTAAGGAACCCTACATGTGGCCCCAAGCCATCCCCACGTGCCTCTCACATGACCAGTTCAACCTCCTTTGAGGCTGACAAGGACGTGCCCAAGTTTTTCATCTTCATGGATGTTAGGAACGGGTCGACCCGCCCATGCCAAAGAACCACTTTGGCAATTGTTTGAGTTACGGGTTTGGAGAAGTCAGGCAGTGGCGATTGATCGAGGAAGAGGGTTTTGTGATGGGTCTCGAGGCCTTGGCCAAGGATATCAAGAATAGGGTGCGTAATAGAATGGGGTTTCGAAAGGGGACGAGAATTGGTTGTCGGATTTGGGTCAGTGCATTGGGGATAGGTCAATGTGCATAGGTTTGGGCTCCCCTAGGTTCGATTTGTATGGTGTGGATTTTAGATGGGGAGGCTAACAACGGTGGCGATTAATGGTGACTGTTGCTTGGTGTCGCTGTGTAGGTCGGGAGGTTCGGAAGGAAGGTTGGAGGTAAGGTTATCTTTGCTGAGGGAAATGATGGAGACTTTTGGTGCTACATTTGGTTAGGGGTAAAGGTTGTGAGGTGTTTTTTTACCCTTCTTAATGAATCTATAGGTTTATGATTTTGCATTTGTTGTTCTATGATGAATTTGATGATGTACCTTTTCTCTTGTAAAAGATTGTAATGTTTTCTTGTTCAATCTTCCTTGCTCGAGTAGATGGTTTTTGTTTTCTCTTTATTTTGTGTGTGGGTGGGCTTTCACAAGTACAAGGTTCTTTCTTTATAAGACATTTTATCATATGGGTTTCGTATCAGTGTAGTGATATAGTGTTGTGTTCGTAAGTAGTTATTTTCCTTACGAGAAACTAATGAGAAAAGATAGTTTAATCATACCGGTGATAGCCTTGATGACGCCAGATTCTGAATCGTTAGATTACACGCGCATACATATACTCATATAAGTGTATATCGATCTGACTGCTCGAAACGTGTGTTGATACCAAATTTTGAATTGGCGGATCACAAACACAGATATAATTATATGATCATATTTGTAGCCCAAATATAAAAGACAAAAGGACAAACATAGAATGTAGCCNCCAACCAAAAGAGTACAAACAAACCAAAATAAACGTCCCACTGGGTTTACATCTTACTAGGAGATAGCAGCTAAAAAGCCCACACAGAACCAAAACAAAACAGCTAATACATATGATTATATGTGTGTTTGTAGTATACATAGTTTGTCCTTTTGCCTTTTATATTTGGGCATGGGGAATGTTCGGAGCTGCTGGAGTTGTCTTTTCTCTGGGCGATTTGGCGATCATGGAGTTGGAGGAACGTTCGAAATTTCAACCAAAAAACAATGAGCTACGAGGCTCATCGGTTGGAGGTGGTAAGCTGCATGGAAAATTACTTACGCACAACGGAGGCGTATGCTACAGCTGGGGCTGATATGAGGCAGTCCATGCCGAGATTAATTCATTGGTCTCCGCCGGACTAGAATTGGATAAAAATCAATACTGATGGGGCCTTCGATAATTCCACAAGTTTGAGCAGTGCGGGTGGATTAATCCGAAATTTTTTAGGTGGTTGGATTATGGGTTTTCTCATGAACATTGGGTACTGCACTATTACGGGTACCGAACTGTGAAGGCTCTACCTAGGACTGCAACTCGCTTGGGAGAAAGGGTACCGCCAAGTTATAGCGGAGGTATATAGTCAATGCGGAGTAAACATGGTCCTTGGAACTGAGGAAAATAATAGGGCACACGAGTCACTAGTGAAGGCCATATGCTATGTGATTCAAAGGGATTGGAACATTCAGATCCGACATATGCATAGTGAAGCCAACTTTGCGACAGATCATGTGGCTAGTTTGGCAACATCTTCTTCGATCGGCTCTGAGGTGGTGTCTGCTGCTTCCCGTGGGTTGGGACACTGGCTCGAGCATGACATTATTAGGGTGTGCTACCCCGGCAAGTCCCGGCTTAACCGTTAGGCCTTTGGCCTCCTTCTTTGTATCAAATAATAGTAATAATAATAATAATAATAATAATATAATCCGACTACTTGAAACTCTGTGTGGGAAGTACGTGAAAATGTATGTACCACTTTTTTGTTCCTACATCACATTAATAATATATTGAGTGCAAGGTCAATCAAAACCAATTTTTTCATCAGTACATTCATACTTCATACTTGATTTCTATAGCAACACGAAAGCCCAAAACTAATGATCATAAAATATCTTTGCTTGGATTGGATCACACAATTGAAAAATATTATCATGCCTCAATAACTACATGCAAAACCCAGCAGATTTCATTATTATTCAGCTGAAAGCCAAAAAAATGAAAAAACAACAATAAACCACCCCCATAGAGTCGAGCTCCATTAAACAATTACCATAACATCTCAAGATCCCATTAATCCCTTAGCAAATATAGCACCAAAAGCTTCCATTCTATCCCTTGGTAATGATAATCCAACCTCCAATCCTCCATTTGAACCCCTCGACTTACTCAACGATATCGAATAGTGGTCCCCGTCGATCGACACCACTTCCAACTTTCTTGCCTTTCCCCATCCAAAATCGACATCCGAGAAGTCGAATTTCGGAGAACCGGACACCCCAACTACCCTCGTACTCTTTGATCCCTTCAATTCTCGGATATTCGAAATCCAATTCTCGGCACCTCTCAAAACCTCATGCTTGTTATTCAACCTATTTTTAATATCTTTGGCAACAGCCTCGGCAAGTATCATGAATCCTTTTCCCCCCACAAGTTGTCTATGTTCGATTTTCGCCAACCCGAATCCTAAACAGTTGCCGAAATAATTATCTGGTACGGGAGGGTCCATGCGGGCCCGAAGATCCACGGCGAAAATCAAATAGTCCACCACATCATCGTCCGTTTCTTCTCCAATTTCGTCGCTCGATTTCGCCAGACAAGCCCTAACATAAGAAACCGTGACAACAAACGACGAGACTCGACCGAGACTCGGTTTCTCAGCCGAAACCAAGTCCTTAAGCCTTTCTATATTAGCCCGGTCGAGAGTAAAAGTCGCTCTAACCCTATTCGTGGGCAAAGGAAAGGACCTTGGCTTCAAAGCAATCTCCCTCATTGATTTCCAATAGATATTGCCGACACCCGAAGGATCCTCGACGAAACACCTATCGAAAGTCGAAAAAGAAAAGGAAAAATCAACTCCTTTAGATTTCGCGATGGATGACCACGCCTTCAAGAAGGCGAAAATCGAACACGCGTCTCCAATACTATGATGGTTGGAAAAGCCGATGCATACACCTCGACCGGGAAAAAGTGTTGCTTTGAGGGCTAAAACCGGAACCACCTTGCAGTCGAGCTCGTCTTTTGGTGGCGGCATCTCGGGGACAAATTCGTAAAATCGATCGGCATCTTGGGCATTGTCCGCAACTAGCTCGTCAAAATCATGTTCGGATAATGCAGTTGTGAACGAGACTGAGTCCCCAACCCGGTAACGAAAAACGGGCTTTTTGTCATCATCGTGGGCCGTGTTAAGAGGGTAGATCAAGTGGCCCGATAAGGGAAGGTAGTGTTGGAGAGCGAGTGAGAGTGATCGTTTGAGATTCGGGATGAGGTTTTCCGAGAAGTAGGGTTGGGAAGAAGGGTGGTCGTAAAAGAGAAGGCGTTGAATGCGGTGGAAATGGACCCACATGATGTCGAATAAAGTAAGGGGCACAAATAGCTCAGTGGGCCCACCTGGCGGAGGCGAAACCTCGGAGATTTCGAGTATGGTTGTCATGGATGGGTAATCCCTAAGTTTTTCAACTCAATAATGGGATAGTACTGTAGGGAAATTCACTAAGTGTGACTGAAAGATTTCAAAGTGGTTGATCATTATATAGCTTTATAATCTGATCATGGGCCATTACAAGTGACATTCACTAAGCAGAAATCAGTATAAAAAATTTGGCGTGATTAGTGCAAGGAGATATTATAAGATTTAATTAGCATAGGATTCCTGTTTAGGTAATAGGTACTGGCCAAACGAGAAATTAAGTATCAAACTCGTCCGTAGTAAGATATTCAGGAAAACAAGAAAAAGTGAAAAACACAGGAAAATGGCAACATAGCTTTCGTGACCTTTATAGTTTAATTTTTTTGTTCTCTCTCTTTTCTTTATATAAAGAATTACTAGTGGAGCTAGTCCGATGCCTGAGAATCATTAACAAATTCTTGGCACAATCAGTGAGGAGATTATAATCGAATAAAATTTTGGCTAAAGGATTCCTGTTTCCAGAATTAAAAATTAGAGGTACCTATCATAAAATATTCAATGCAAGAAACACGAAAAGTGTAAGAAAAAGAGCCATGCTGCTACATTGCGATGAACAGAAAAGGAAAACCAAAAAAAGAAAAGATTTGCCACCATTGTCCAGCATTACGAGCATAAGACTACAGAAGTCTCATGGTTATGTAAACATCAAGTTTGTAATCAAATAACCAGACTCAGATAAATGGTACAAGATGGCTTCAACTTAGAAAAGTTAGAAATCGTACTTTTACATTCAAGGCTGCACAATAAGGTAACACAGACGAGTGAATTGTCTAAGTGTGTTGCACAACGAGAAATATTACAGAAGAAAATTACAAACAAGCCTAACATAATGTTCTTCAAAGGCGAGTCCTCACATATGTGCCTCACGAAATGTGTCAGTCATATGTATATGAAGTATGAACTCTTTAATGCCCACTGCTTAAATCCAAATATGCTTACATGTACTTCCGGATTAAAAAATGAAATCCATTTTTTTTTTATCTTACAGTACATCCATAGGTGGTTTGGGTGAAAAGGAGACTACCGCACGGAAAATTGGTACTCCCCCAAGCATTTTGTGATAGCCTCATTGGCTTTTTGAAATGTTGCCCTTTCTTCTATTTTCTTTTTTTCTCTGAAATACAAATACACAAACACCAACTTAAAGAATGTTCAATGTTAAGCAGAACATTAAAATTAAAGCAATTCATGAGGACAAGGAAATCATAACTCATGTTAATAGGAAGCTCAATGAGCTATTATATTCAAGTTCGTGTGGAAAAATAAGGAGAAAAAAAAAAAATTCTCAATTGACTTTCACAGAATCAGATAATAACTCCGATATGTGAGTTCATTTAGCTGTTTTCCCAATATTCTCAAATCATAGTTCATTACCTTTCTACATATTCTTTCAATAGCTCCTTTGCTTGAACCAGCTTGGATAAAAGATTGCGGTAGACATCAAGGTCTCTATCAACGCTTTTCTTATTTACATTTAGTGCAGCACAAAGCTGCCAAGCGTGGAGAAGCATATCAACAGTAAGCATACTAAACAAAACGTCTGCAAGATTAATTGGGGGACCATGTGACGAGGAATTAACAGAAAGGTATCATTTCTTTGTTCCTGTTTTTTATGACATGATGCCCCTAACAAAGTAAAAGCAGACACATTATTGCAAACCATAAGTTGTTTTCGCCTTTCGGTAAAGAAGAGTACACCATCTTATTCCTACAGACTCAAGATGCTAGTTTAACCAAACAAGATTGAAAAATGAGAAAAAAGAGGTTATAAAGTTTGATGTCTAGGGTTTTATAAAGGCTAAGTTCCACTCTGTCAAAATGTGTATGCATATGTTAGATGAAAGGGGTTTAATTAAGTAGCTATACAGGGGTATGAACTATGAAGGCCCTCAAATATGAGAAGCATTTCTCATAAATTGGCTTCCTTTGTCTCGTAATTTGGCTTCCTTTCAAACCAAATCCCTGACAATTAATCTTATAAAAGTCACGCGAATTTTACCATATCTAAGACGGTTGGCTCAGTCACATTTGCTAACTCAAGCAAGCGGAAAAGACCAACAGCAAAGAAACGGCTGTAGCTGAAACTTCCCGTGGTCCCTGCTCTTTTTGATATGTCCTTCAAAATGTCCTCAACTTCTCCTTCTCTGGATGCAAAATCTACCAAGGAATTCCCTGTCTGGGTACGGGCCCAATCTTCTAACTTCTGCGCATCAGCCCTGAATCATAAAACTTGCTTTAATGCAACAAATTGGTTGCTGTTATTCAATTTTTTTAAATAGAA